AATATATAGAAATGCTACTGATTTATGTACATTAATTTTGTAACCTGAGATTTTACTGAGTTTATTTATCAATTATAGGAGTCTTTTGGTGGAGCACACGATCACTTTGAATCACTAATGCAGTACATACTGCATATTAGTACATATTGCTCTTACATGTATTGGATACTATCTATCACATTATGCATTAAATTATAGTGATTCTACATTAGGTGCAAATGTCTACCAACTTCCTTATTTAGTCTATTGAAATACAGTATTAAAATCATTATCAAAATTGTTATTATAATGTATATTAAAATATAATTATTACATATTAATATATAGTTATTACATCATTTTAATTACTTTCTTTCCTTTTTAATTACCGCTAAGGCATTAAATTTATTTGTTGAAATTTTGTGTATACAGATTTATTATTTGTGTATTTTATTTACAGATAGTAAAAGAGATTTAAAATATTTGTTATAAAGTAGGATGTTGGGTCTGATAGGGTTGAGAACCACCAACTCAACCCAACCAGTAAACCAACTAACTACCCAAGGGAATTGGTGGTTAAAGGAGGCAGGCATTGTGGGATGAATATGTCTATTATTTATGCTTACTATTTATAAACACTTTAATCCTGGGATTCAATTTAGAAATACCTTGAGGCGACAAAAATTGGCTCTAAAGAGTATGCAAACAATGTACTATGAATAACCCCTGATTCAAATAAAAAGCCTTCCACCCCAGGTGTTTTTCATGTTTGTTCTCTGTTCATTGTAGGTGAACCCACAGAGCATGGTTTGAATTTGATTCTTTTTTGCTGAACGGTTAGTGGCGGCTTATGGGTAGTAGGAAAAAAAAATGTCTTAATTCAAGAAAAGGTCTAGAAATCATGAGAAAAAAATGTCCCGTATGATCTTAGACACCTGGAAAAGAGCAGTGAAAAAAAAAGACATGCAATTTTATTTATCTTTATTTTGGGTAGAATCACATTTTATTTACTACTAGTTTAATAATTTTAAATAGCATACATTTTGCCTATCAGTCATTTCTAAGCACTCAAAACTGATATAATGTGTAATTAGAGCGAATACTTGGCATAGTTCCTAGGTTGTTTGAAAATATATTCTGAGGAGCCAAATCTTAAGAACTGGCATTGATTACAATGTGAACAATTAGCTTTGTAGAATGACACAAATAAACCTGTATTCAAGCCATACTTAAAGAATCAGCAAGCTTGGAAACATTTATTAAGCACACGTCCATGCGTCCATGCGTTGCTAGGTAGGTTAGGTCAAAGAGGACTCCTACTCTCGAGAGGCCTGAAGATTAAGTCAACTTAGGTCCACAGGGTGCAGAAGGTGCAGACATGTGCGGTACAGACCCTGTCCTAATCACGTTTAGAGGCAGCAGGGCACAGTGGTTAGCACGTGGGGTCTGGAGCCAGCCTGCCTATTTCAACTCATCTGCCAATCATTCTGTGACTTTGGGCAAGTCCCCTAATCTTTCTATAAGATGAAGCTAATAATCATAATTTTATCTATCTGGCAAAGTTGTTACGAAGAGGAATTAGCTAATATAATTAAAGTGCTTCAGAACTGTGCCCAGCATTTAGTGGGTGCCATAGAGGTGTTTATTAAATGAGTTAAATTTACTAATTATCTGGATCAAATACAAATACTACAATGAGGAGTGATTCTCAAATTTTGATAGAGGAAGGGGGATCTTGCCCTATGGGGCAAATGCAATGCCAACACCAGGCTTTAACCCAGATCGTAAATGTCTTTTCACTGGCTGGGAAAGAGGCAATGTGAGTGTGGAAAGGCCAGAGCCCGATATCCCACCTGCCACCCAGTGGTCGCCTTACAGGGCAACTGATTCT